CACGCGGGAATCCTAGGTGCTGCAGTTTTTCCTTTTGTCCTTTTGCCGCTCTTGCAGGTGAGGGGTGCCTGGCTGACTGACAGGTTGAGGCACAGTGACCTAGCGGTGCAGGAACACTGCCGTTCCCGCGCTGCGCCAAGACTTTTTTCTTTCTTTCTCGCATCGAAAAAACAGGGGAGCAGCACGCGGCGAATTCTTTTTCGTGACGATGCAGAACGTGGGCCTGCGATTGCGAAGAGAACTCGATTGTCGGTGGCATCCGATACGACCCTGGCCCCTTGTGACCAAGATGAGACCAAGCGATCCCACGCCACGACTCGTTCATTGAGGGTCGGCACGGTCCCGAAGCGGGGTCGGAATCCGTCGACGCCGCTGAGCTGAAGCCGAACCGAACCGCCCTTGGTCCCGAGCAGTGGGTCTCGATAGCAGGACAGCTCGCCGGGCGCCCAAGAGAAAAATTGCCTGTGATGAGCTGAAGGACCCGCCGTATCACAACGGGAAGCAGCAGCAAGGTTCGGTGGTTAAACTTTGGGACGTTGCAGCCTCGGAAAGATGCGATTTTGGCGAGACTGCCGTGCCGTGCAGTGTCGTGCATTTGTGAGCGTTTATCGCGCTCCCGAGGCTTGACTGTTTTCTTTTTCCGCACCCGACGCAACAATGGGCGGGCTTAGCAAGCATGCCCGTCACATCACCGTGCCTCGCAGCCGCACGCACCGATAGCAAGCGGAGTCCACTCAATCCAAAATTTCCACCACGGCGCGACCCTCTGTCACCAGCAGCACCCTTGATTCAACACCTCTGGCCGACGAGATATCACTGGCCACCACCACCACCATCCCTGCACCTGTGAACGCTGCCAGTGCTTGCTAGCTAGACATCGCTCAGCAACAACGCAACGCCGCGTGCAGCTTGGATCGGCTCGGCGGCTAAACATCGTTTCATTTCATACTGTGTCCACCCCTCGACACGAGTTGTCAACCCACGAGCGCGACGCCTAGCTATCGCCAAGCTTGCAGCTGCTCACGCTTTCCCACCACGGACGCACAGCGCTCTCCTTTGACTTGCTTCCGAAGCTCAGTCATCAGATCGGCATCTCCGGCAACCCTTTCTTGTCAGCCTCGGTCTCTCGTCCTTGCTCCATCGGTAGTGCCGACACTGACTTCTGCCCCGACCTTACCCGACCTCACCCGACCATATCCATGCATCCTCGTCGTCATTCCGACCCAAGCCGGCTCCGACTCAGCTGCGCCCCTCTCTCCATCAGCCTAGACAGCTTTCACGACCCAGGTGCCGCGCTCTTCCGCGCCTAAGCTCATCACCCATCATGGCGAAAGCCTTCGACCCCTTCGAGGTCACGCCGGTCCACATTGCCTACGTCGGCCTCGGTCTCTTCATCTGCATCTTCTCCTACCTCTCCCTCTTCATCAAGGAGCGCCTCTACCTCGGCGAGGCTCCCATCGCTGCCGCCTTTGGCATCATCGTCGGACCCGTCGCCATCGGCCTCTTCAACCCAGCAGGATGGGGCAACGAGGATGGCGTCACCCCGGGCGGTCCCACCACCGACGACATCACCCTCGAGATCATGCGCGTCACCATCGCACTCTCCGTCTTTGCCATCGGCGTCGAGTTGCCCAAAAAGTACCTCCTCCGCCACTGGAAGTCCATCGCCATCCTCCTCGGCCCCGTCATGGCCTGGGGCTGGCTCATCACCGCCTGCTTCATCTATGCCCTCATCCCAGGCCTCGACTTTCTCAACTCGCTCGTCGTCGCCGCCTGCGTCTCCCCCACCGATCCCATCTTGGCCCAGGCCGTCGTCGGTGGTCCATGGGCTGAGAAGCACGTCCCCGCCCACGTCCGTCACATGCTCATGTGCGAGTCCGGCTGCAATGACGGCGCCGCTTTCCCCTTCCTCTACCTCGCCCTCTACCTCACGCAGAACCGCGACAACCCGAAACACGCCATCGCAGAGTGGTTCTACGAGACTTGGGCGTACGAAATCATCCTCGGCACCATCCTCGGCGCCCTGATCGGCTACCTCGCACGCAAGTTCATGCGCTTCTCCGAGCGCAACAAACTCATCGATCGAGAGTCCTTCGTCGCCCAGTACATCTCGCTCGCCATCGCCAGTATGGGCGTCAATGTGTTGCTCGGCTCCGACGACCTGCTCGCCGCGTTTGCGTGCGGCACCGCCTTCGCATGGGATGGTTGGTTCACAAAGCAAACCGAGGACTCCAACTTCTCCAACATCGTCGATCTGCTCTTCAACATCGCCACCTTCATCTACATTGGCGCCCTCATCCCCTGGCACGACTTTGTCGACGGCACCATCGGCCTCTCCATCTGGCGCCTCATCGTCCTCACCATCTGCGTGCTCCTCACAAAGCGCATCCCCATCATTCTTGCTCTCTGGAAGTTCATCCCAGACATCAAGACCTTCCGCGAGGCCATCTTCTGCGGCCACTTTGGTCCCATGGGCGTCGGCGCCATCTTCATCGCCACCCTCGGTCGCACGCTCATGCCCGAGGAGGTTCCCGAGCCACCCGAATCCACCAACGACGTGCTAGCGCTCACCATCCAGCCCATCGTCTACTTCTTCGTCCTCTGCTCCATCCTCGTGCACGGCTTCACCATCCCCTTCTTCGCCTTCGGCAAGAATGCTCGCAAGCGCGCTCACACCCTCACGCGAACATGGAGTCGCAACCCGTCCATGCGAGACGACGAGCCATCGTGGATGAACCGCGTTCGTCGCGTCAGGTCCGGCGAGGATATCGTGATCAACCACGATGACATCAGCGCCGACAAGATGTCCGCACAGCAGCTCGCCATGATCGGCCGCGGCGCCATCGGCGGCTACCGTGAGGATGAACTGCGACGCGAGAGCAGCAACGACGAGAACTCGGCTACCGCCGCTGGAGGCTCCTCTAGCGACAGCCAAGATGCCGAGCCGCCGTTTGTCGGGCTCCTCAACACTCGCACCGAGCGCGACCTCGAGAAGGCCGAAGGTTTTGGATCCGAGTACAACGAGAAGATCGCCGACGAAGAAGAGGACGACAACAACAGTGCCAAAAGACGGCATCTGTGCAAGGACATTGACGGCATCGAAGACTGGGAGGGCAGCGACGACGAAGCGTGTCCAGCTGCCGACTATCTTGGCGACAACTGCATTGAAATGCGCAGGTATCGAGAGCGCGTGCAGGCCAAGAAGGAGGAGAAGCTGGCACGACAACGCAACCAGAGGCAGAGCGCTGAAGAGGCGGAAAGTATTCGCGCTTCGCAAGAAGAGCAGGACCTCGGCGAAGCACCTATGGACCGAGACATCATCTGCGGCCGCGTTGGGCCCGAGGACGAGGACGAGGCTTGTCGCAAGGACCGCGAAGGGCAGGCTCACTCGCATCATGACGCCAAGCGACGAAGCACCCATTCTGCCGCTGCCAAAGACGACGATGACGAGGACACTTGGCCCAAGGTCCGCAGCTGGGTCGAGGGCCACAAGCTCGTGCTCGAGTACCAGAAGAGCTACTCGGACGATCCCGACGTGCAAGTCATCCCGCTCACGGACGCAGAGCGCTCTGCCCTCGAGGCCTCGGACACGCCCGCGCAAGACTGGGTGCGTGCCAATCACGACGAGCTGGCGTGCTTCCTGGGCGACAACAATCACGCATCCTGGAACGCTTCCGAGGCCATCTCGAGGCTGCTCGAGAACAAGGTGCCCAATTGGTGGCCCACCAAGAACAAGAAGCACTACGTCAAGGCAGAGGTGCCGAGCGAAGAGACGGCGGCCGAGCGCGACGAGCGTGTCAACCTTATGTACGGCGCCATGACGTGGGCGCAGGGCCACCGCGAGCACCAGGACGACCTGCCGCTGCGGTCCTCGCGCAGACAGCCATCGATCTCTCCAGCCCGTGACGCGGACGCCGTCATTCACCATACACCGGCCGTGGTCAGCACGCTGCACGACGATGGGCGCGGAGGTCGTCCGATTGGCCCCGAGGACTCGTCTGTTCCTCCCGGCAGCACCAGTGCGCAGGACAGCGAGGCAGAGCGGTCCGCTGGTGGTGGCTCAGGCACGGGCGCCAGGCCGTCTCATTCCAGCAGGCGTGGCAGTGCTGCGAGACGCGGCAACCTGCGCAAGAAGGTGCTCTGCGGCCAGATCGGGCTGTCCGGCAGGCGCCGGTCGACGAGCTCACAGCCGGAGCTGGAGGAGGACGAGGAGTCCGAGATCCTCGATGATGAAGGCGGCAGCGGTCCGACGGCCGAGTCCGAGTCTGCAGCGGACAGCTCGCGCTCCACTCCATCGGCAGGTGCGGGGTACACGACGCCGCGCGTGATGATCTCAGAGCCTGCGTCGCCGCAATCGACGCGCGACAAGGACGCGCACCGCATGAGTCCTGCGTCGAGCTTCCTTGGTCTGGGCAAGGGCAAGAGCAAGAGCAAAGGTCAGGGCCGGGGCGACGACAAGTTCTTCCCACGCTCCTCGTCTGCGGGTGCGGGTCTTGCGGCCTCGTACCGGTCGTCGCCGGGGGCGAGCATCAGTAGCAGTCCCATCCTCAAGGCGTCGGCGCCCGGCTCGAGGCTCGGCTCGGGTGCGGGGCGTGATGCGGAGCATGCGCACTCGCGCAGTTCGTCGGTGCAGTGGCTGGATATTGCGGACCGCACGCACGACCACCACGCCGCCGCGCGCGGGCCGATCAACAAGGCGGGCGCCGACGCATTTGCGCAGCGATCCAAGACGTACTCGGGCTCGTCGGGGCGCGAGATGACGCGCGATGCACGCGTGTACCGCCTGGACAGCGACGAGGATGAGGAAGCGAGTAGTGACGACGAGAAGCGTCACGGCGGGCTGGGTATCCGCGATGGGATGAACCGCATCGGCGCGTTCTTTTCGAATTTCACCGCGCCCAAGGGCGAGGGCATGGGCAATCCGGGCCCCACGTCGCATCCGCACCTCTTCCCTACGCGATCGGGCGACGATGCGGGAGAGAGGGGTGCGGAGAGGAGGTCGCCGGTGGCGAGTAGGTCGCTGCGGCGGCAGGTGACGAATGACGAGCTGGATGCGTTGGCGCTCCCGCCCGCCGAGGCGCCTGCGGAGTTGGGACCACCGAGGCGAAGCGCCACGGGCGCGAGTGCGGCTAGTCGTGGCTCGACACGCTCCGGTGCCGAGGGTGCCACTCCGCGCGTGCTGCTGGATCTGCCCAACGACGACGGTCCGCCCGTCTCACCGGGCTCACCTGCGCACAAGTAGTTCGAAGCTGTATCTCTTCATCGGGAACGTGGATATGTTCATTCTGCATCTGCGCGTGTTTGTGGGGTTGGTTTAGGTGAAGAGGATGAGTGCGATGGTGTAGACGTTTCCCACAGCGATGCCTGCGATACCTGCGACGATGAGTGGGAACGGGTAGGTTTGCCAGGGGCTATCGGAGTCGAGCGCGAGGGTTGCCGTTGCTAGTAGGGTTGTCGCGATGCTGAAGAGGGGCGGGTAGAAGAGGGGCCATAGGAACGAAGGAGACGGGTTTGCCGCGAGGAGTTTTTGTACAAAGCCTGGATTTGGAGCGGCGATGTGGATGGGTGGGAGGAGGAGTAGGGCTAGATGGGTTGCTAGTGTTGCCGATTCTTTCCAATGAGACGTTAACGATGCCCCACCAACGAGCAGTAGGGCATATATGGCCAATGCAGTCAAAGGTAAAGACAAGAGAAGGGATGCTGAGACTGCCTCCAACTGCCGGATGAAACTTGGCACTTGGAACTCGACTCTGACTTTCTCCTTGTCGCCCTTCAAGCCTTCCACCAGTTGCTGGTGATGGTGAGTCGCACCTTGTGTATATGCGTTGAGTCTAGCGGTAAACCAGGCCTGAATCACCAGTGTCCCGAATAAACTCTTGACCCCCGCTGCCAAAAACCTCTCCTTGCCAACATCATCCCTCGCCAAAAGTGAGAGGTAGTTGCGCTTATCCCAAAGCGAGTTTTTATACTGCGCATTCAGACACGGCTCGGTAAGCAGCACAAATCCAAGCACCAAACATCCCCCCTGCAGCAGCAACAACAACACCAACGACGCCCGTTTGTATACCCATCGTCGAACCCGAACAGTCCCACCACCAACACCAACAGCAGGCACAGCTGCGGAAGATGATGCAGCAACAGGGCGTGGAATCGTCTGCCGCGGTTTAGGACCCATCGTTACCAATCCGAGGTCAAGAAGAGGTGGTGGGAAAACGAGGATTGATGCCTGCCCGTCTGTGCGCGTTTGCCCAAAACAACCGCCCCCCTCTCCCGATTCCCGAAGTTAGACGCTCCACAAGAAGCTGCACCTGTCAGGCATGGCTCCAACAAAGGCGCGCAGTCGTGCCACACCGCAAAAAGATGAGCCGTGTGCTTTCATACACAGCCCTGGAGCCTTGACAGAGAGGCTGGTCCAGGAAACAGCGAGACCTCCAAAGCTCACACACAGACTTCAGCTTCTTCCCATGTGGAACGCCGACGCCGAACAAAAAAGGCACACTTGGTATTGCAGACGCATTTACATGACGATTCGCGCATTCATGGATGATCGAGGGTGAGGGACGAGGTGACGGCCGCGTTAAAACTCATCCTTGGCGCGCGCGGTGGCCTTGGCAGCCGAGGCGCTCGCCTGGCTGGCGGCACCCGAGGCGCTGACGCTGGCGTGCGCGGCGGCCTGCTCGCCCTTGCCGAGGATGTCCTGGACGCCAAAGTAGGCCTGGCGGACGCCGTCCTTGATGTAGCTAAAGATGCCGCGGTGGCCCGTGTAGCGCGCGCGCATCTCGCGCAGCAGCTGGTCGCGCTTCTTGGGGATCGCCTCGAGCGGCATGCCGCTGCTGCGCAGGTACTCGCGCAGCCGGGCATCGCTCCAGTCGACGTACTCGCGCGCCGAGGTCGCCACGTCGTTGCCGTGCTTCTGTGCGAGCGCGAGCAGCTCGTCGCGCTTGGCCTGCGCGTCCGACTTGAGCCAGCCGTTGGAGATGAGCCACGAGCGCAGGTCGCTGTCGCTCCAGCTGCTCCACACCTCGTCGTGCGCCGAGGTGTAGTGCTTGCGCACGAGGTCGAGGTAGTCGTCGCGCTTCGCCTGGAAGCTCGACTTGATGTAGCCGTTCTTCACCAGCCACGCGCGCAGCTCGCTGTCGCTCCACGTGTCGTACACATGCTCGGTGCCCGTCGTGTAGTAGTCCTTGGCGAGCGCCAGGTACTCGTCGCGCGTCTTCTGGGCGGGCGAGCGGATGATGCCGTGGTCGACGAGCCAGTTGTGCAGGTAGCTGTCCGAGAGCGCCTCGTACGGCGCGTTGACCGTGGAGCGGTACGTGTCGCGCATCGAGGCGAGCAGCTCGTCGCGCGTCGCCTGCGTCTTGGTCTTGATGACGCCCTTGGACTCGAGGTAGGAGCGCAGGTCGTTGTCGTTCCAGGTGGAGTAGACGTAGTCGGTGCTGTCGTCGATCGCCTTGGCGACGGTCTGCGACGCCTGGGCGTAGGCGGAGCTGCCGCTCTTGGAGGCGGCGCTGAGCACCGAGTTGCCCGACTTGCTGGCGGCGGTGGCGGCGCTCTTGGCCGACTTGCTGACGTCCGAGGCGCCGGGAGCGTTCTTGCTCACGCTCGAGGCGGAAGCCTGCGCATCCTTGCCGAGGCTCGTGGCGGAAGCCGAGGCGGACGAGGCGTAGGCGGCAGCCTGGGAGCCGAGCGAAGCGGCGGAACGTGAGAGGGGATAGTAGAGATCGGTAAGTGCCATGCTCGACGCCGACTGGGCAGCTTGGGCGGCGTGGGAGCTTACTGCGGATTGCACCGAAGCCGCAGCGCTCGAGGCCGAGTTGAGCTGCTGCGACGCGGCCGTCTTGACGGCGCCCGAGCCGGAGGATGCGGAGGAGACGAGCTTGTCGTAGTCCTGGACGGCGAGCTGGCGCAGCTTCTCGCCGGTGGTGTAGGGGGCGATGATGCCGCGGTCGAGCAGGTAGGTGCGCAGGTCGGATCTGTCGAGACGTGAGAAAGAAGCGCGGGTCAGCTCGGTCTGGATTCGAAGCTATGCTGTGAAAGAAAGGTAACTTACTCGGACCAGGTGGCAAAGGCCGAGTCAAAGGCCTTGCTGCCGCCCTTGGTGAAGTCCTGGAGCCAGTCGGCTTGGGCAGGCTGGGGGGCGGTGGCGAGTGCAATGCACAGCGCCAGCAAGCCGGCAGAGATGAAGCTAGGCTTGACCATGGCGAATGTTTGTCAAGGGCAAGAGTTGCGGTGGATGTTAGTGGAGAGAAGGAAGATGGTGGTGGCACGGAAAGGATGAGGCCATGGCTCAGCAGTGGATTGTGCAAAGAGCTTGCGACGTGAGGAGTGCGGGCAAGCGAGCAAGAGCAGGCTGAGAGGGGCGGGAAGGAGAGGCTGCGGAATGTGACTCTCAGGCCACTCTCAGGCCACTCTCAGGCCACTTGTCAGAAGTGACTTTGGACAATGGGAGCGGAGTGCAGTGTGCGGTGTGGGAATCATCATCGTCATCGCCCGAGGAGCTTCTAATTCCGTCACCGACCAGGGTCGCCGCCGCTCTTTCTGCGTGGCTCGCGAGCTGCTCATGGACCCTAGCAGGGGCCCATGCGTCCATGCGTGCATCCATCCATCCAAGCACCTCCAGTCAGCTCGGCAGCACCGATGCCATCCGCCTCGTCGTCACTCAACGTCGGCACCACACTTCGCCAGCGCACTGTGAGAAAGTCCGCTCTGCTACGGATGAGCCGACGTGACAAACTCCCAATCACACTTGGCCGCCGCTGCTCGCCGGAAGACTGGGATGTCTGCGGTCCATCCGGACTGGCGGGGCGGTGCCACCAAAAATTGCCAGCCAGCCCAGAGAGGTGGAGGCAAGCTTTCCTTCGTCCGGGGCTGCACGTTCGTCGGGAAAAGAAGCTAAGCGAGCCAAGGCCCGCGCCCGTCGACGTGTGCGGGGTGACTGTCACCGACGTCATCAAGCCGCTGCAAATCCTGCCGCCTTGGCACTCCCCACCACGCACGCTGGGGCCCAGCTGACTCACGGCGCAACTCCCTCGCTTGCCCGCTCTCGCTCACTCTGCAGGATCACGTTTCCGCCTCTCGCTAAGGCGTGTGAAGCCAACGTGGAACCTTCGCGGCGAGACAAGCTCCAGCTCGTCGACAGGCCCAGACTCGGGAGACGCAGACAGAGCTCTCGGCACCACGATTTTCTTTCACCACTGTGTACATATTGAAATCTAACACATTCATCTGTCGCGCTTCCGTCAACAGGTCCGCAGAGAAGTCCAACACAAGATCGTCTCAACAGGCAGTTCTGATGCTCAGCACCAACTTGCTTCGATAGCGCAAGCCGAGACAGATAGATCGATGACGGTTGATGTTACAGTCGAAAGTACTTCGTCGGGGAGACAAGGAGCGGCGGTGGGTATATGTGAGAAGAGGACGGGAGCCGTGCAAGCAAGCGGTCGAGAAGTCGATCACGACGCGGCTGCTGTGGCTGCATGGTTGGCGGCTGTTCCGATGGTGGTGCCTTCGACTTCCTCTGTTGTTGCGTTGCGGTCGATGCATAGCAAGCAAGGTGCGAAAGGTCAAGTCAGCGAATGTGCGCAACCATCCGCGCTTGAACATGATCGGCCACTTACCCCATGGACGGCGACACGACGGACAGCCGTCGTTGTCCTGCAGCCACTTCATGATGCAGTGCAGATGGAACTCGTGACTGCACTTGCCGAACACTGTTGGCAGACAGAGTCGGAACGGGTCGAATGACCAACGTCAATAGGATTGTGCTGTCTTGCGCCAGAGGCAGTGCGACTTACGTAGCGGGCAACTGTCGCCGGGCTCTTTGCAGCTTGCACAGCAGCCATCAAAGTTGCTCTGGCAGATACCACAGATGTCGTCTGGATCCTTGACGTCCCACACTGGAGCAGCATCGACGAGATAGACACAACAAGATGCGGCTGTCAGTAAAGTCACATCGCTGCTATTGCTACAGACTCGGAGAAGCCGACTTACGCCAGTAGGCCACCGCATTCCACGACTTGACCTTGACTTTCATGGCGAATGCATCGGGGCTTTCCCAGGTAAAAGAAGGAGCCAAGTTGGCTCGAGTCTGTTGGAAGCAAAAGCTTTGTGGTGGACAGACGCAAGTAACACACTGCGATGGAGTCCTGCCGATCCCAAAATTCTCTGCTCGCGCCCGAGCCAAACACCAGCAGCAGCAGAGGCGCGGCTGGCCCGACGCGTGAGAGCGGCTACGCCTCCACATGCACACTCGAGCGCTGGCCGCTCCCAAGCCGCGTGCTGCAGGGCGCCGCCGATTGGACCCTGACTGGCGAGATAGAGGGTGCAGCACCGCCTGCGCTCTGGCCATGCCTGCCGCCCACCACATGCCCACTGCTCGACCTCCTCATCCGCATCGACCGTCATCCATCTCGCACCTTTGTTCGACCAATCACTCCGTCACTTCCCGATGTCGAGCCCCATCTTCGGCTCGTTGCCGTCCTCGGGCGCCACGGCTACGGATGCGCGTCATCGCTCGTCGTCTTTCAGCGCTCCTCGGCTGGATCTGGTGCTGCGTCCCTCGCTCGGTCTGGGTCCATTCAAGCTAGGCCACTCGCTATGGCATGTGCTCAACTATCTGCGCTCACAGCAGTCGCTCTTCCCACACATCAACATCGTCTACGATGAGACCGCGCCGCGTCTCTCCCCCATCGTCGTCACCATCCAGCCCAGCTTACACCTCATCTTTCATGCCACCACCCAGCGCCTCATCCTCATCACACTCGAGAACCTCGACGCCACCGCATCAACAGGTTCACGAAATGGCTCTCCCTCCGCTCCAGCACCTGCGTCGCCAAGCGGAGAGCCAAGCCATCGCCCCGTCAACCTCTTCTACAACGGCAAGCTCATCTACGCGAGCGGCTCCGCCAGGTCACAGCACGTGGTGCTCAATCGATCCACCCTCCACCAGATTCTTGGTCCTACCTATCCGGGACGCTCCGAATCATCCCATGTTGCATCAGAAAGCCTTGTCGCCCTCGCACACGGTCGCAAGGACGCACAACACCTCCAGAGCCGCACCGAATTCCTCCTCACCTACCCCGGCCTTGCATTCTGCTTTACACTCAAGTCCGACGCGCCAAAGGCAGCCGAGGTGGACAAGTTGCAGCCTGTATCGTCAATTCACGTCTTCTCGGGCAGCGACCCTGACAATCCTCTAGATGTACTCGTGGCGCCCTCTCCCGATCAGGGCTCGAGCGATGCCGGTGCACCGGGTCGCTTGCACAAGCCAGGCACACTCTCACCCACCGCAGCACTCGGCGACTATGCGCAGCTCAACAACGAGCGCGATCGCGCAGCCCTCGATGTCGAGGCGATCTACGTGGGCGCCCCCGTGCTCCTGCAGGCCGACGTCACGCCCGGCAAAAGCGTCGCCTTGCACTTTGCCAAGACCGGTGCGTCCCGGACGGCATCCCCACTGCCTGGAGGTGGTGGCACAGGCGCAGCAGCCACCGAAGCGCCGGTGGGCAACGTGGTAGAGCTGATGCTGGGAGTCACGACGCCTCAAGATGCGCTGTGCGATCTAGGCCAACCCCAGCGCATATTCTACAAGGAGGACGACAGAATGAGGATCCATGGCGGAAGTACGCATGCAGGTGCCGACGGCCAGACAAGAGGAGCGGCGGCGGGAGCTCGTGAAGGATCCGAGAACAGTACGGCCACGGACGAATCACTTGCAGCGTCCCACGAACTCGACGGTAAGTCGTCCACACGTCAAAGTTGTGAGCACGAGGCTACTTTGGACGTGCTAGCTGACCTTGCGTTCGCCTTGTGCTCACCCTGTCAACAGACTCGGCGTTTTTCTACAACTACTTTGACCTTGGCATCGACCTTCTGTTTTCCAAGCAGACGATGCGCATGCCGAGCGGCGCCGAGGTGTACGGTGCGGCCGCGTTGGGACAGGCGCGGCTGGAAAAGGTGGTGTGCCACACCAACGTGCCCGGCGACGCACTATTTCAGCGCTACAATCGGTGTCCCTGGCGCGTTGTTCGCGACGTCGCCAAAAAGACCGCCAACACCAAGTCGGAGGCAGCTTTCTCGTTTGAAGATCACTTTGACAGCACGCTCAGCAAGGGCCAAGACGACCGTGGGATGGAGCTGGATCGAGGCACGTCGGCCGAGCTGCGCGGCAGCGGTGCGAACCAGCGTCGATCCGTGCCGGCGCTGCACGCCAAGTCGTCTGCACTGGATGGCAGTCCCGAGCGCGAGGGTGCAACAGGCGAGCTGCTCATCGACCTAAGCACCCGACTCGTCGGCCGAGACGGTATGGTGATCGAGGTCGCCAAGGACGGATCCATGGTGGGCGTAGTGGTCTTCTAGAACCGGCAACATCAACCCAATCGAAGGCTCTAGAATATTTCACGTTGAGATTGCGACCAACTTGCAAGATGCGAGAGGCTGGAGCATGATCTACTGCATGTACTTGGTGGGGCGGGGAAGGTCTGTAAGTCGTTCGGGAGTCAAAGGGGTCAGTACAATGTGATTGAATCAAGAAGGGTGGGAGGGAAGCATGCATACCGATGACTTGTTTCTTGACGTCGAGCACTTCGTCGTGGATGCCATCGACGATCCTCTTGATCTCGGCGCGGTTCTTTTCGAATTCGGCCCTGGAGGCGGCCTGGGAACCGAGCGACTTGAGATCGGCCTCGAGCTTGTTGAGCCTCTGCAGGTGGGTGGTGATCTTCTCGGTGCTCGACTGCAGCTCCTCGACCGAGGCGAGCATGAGGTTGCTGGCGGCATTGTACTCTTTCAGCAAATAGGCATAGCCGTAAGCTGAAGCGATGCCAAATCCAAACAGGAAGCCGAGCACGCCACCACGCACCGAGCCGACGGGGCGACGGATGGTGGGCGATCCAACCACAATGGGTGCAGAGGGTGCAGAGGGTGCAGAGGGCAGGGCAGCCTTGGCGGATTGCGCGGTCGACTTGACGGCACCCTCGGTTTCCTTGAGGGCGCCCTTGGCCTCGCCCAGGCCTTCCTTGGCGGCTCCGCGTGCGGTCGCGGCGGCTTCCGACACGGCAGCCTGCGTGGACGCAAAGCGCACACCGGAGCGAGAAGCAGCTCGTGCAGCAGTGAACATTGTGATGCGGCGGAAAGAGTGTGTGATGTTGAGACGGCAAAGTGGAGCAGCAAAAGCGAGCGCAAGTGGCCCGAGTGGAGACGATCGGCGGCAGACCGACATCGCCAAGAGGCGCTGCCGATTCTTCTCATCACACGCCGGCACCTTCCGAATTTTTTGCATGCGGTATGTGTGATACGAGACTGTAACAAATCGAAAATTCACCGGAAATATCTCGGAGCGCAGATCGCCGCGGATCAGAACATGCCGCGCGGCAATGTAACCAGCCGAGGCCGCATATAGCCAACACGCAAGCCTCCCAAGCTTTGCTCCACCATCTACTTCTCTAACCCCCATCACCCTCTCTAGACCTGAGACGCTGACAACGCCATCCGTCCATACGCATTTGATCCCGCACCATGGCATCACGAGCCTCTCCGCGGCCATCGAGCCTGCGCTCGTCCGCCTCCACATCCGACGCTATCGACCCGATCCAGGAAGAAGTCGTCTCCACCGACGGCCACGTCTCGGCGCCCACCGAACGCTCTCCGCTCCTCCCGCACCCGGCCCCCGCGCAGTCGGCAAAACCCAGACTGGCTCGCAACCCGATCCTCGTGCTGCTCGCCATCTTTGCGTTTGCCGTAGCCATGTCCGTCGTGCTCAAGACGCTGCTCGGCGAGTTCGACGATGCCTCGGACGGCGACGGCGACACGGGCCACCCACCAGGCACGGACCCCCGCGGACGTCGCCATCCAGCTGTGCTCGCGACGGGGCGCAAGGCAGGCGTGGCTACCGAGAATCAGCTGTGCAGCCAGATCGGCCTGGATGTGTTGCTCGAGCACGGCACCGCTGTTGACGCGGCAGTTGCATCGACGCTCTGCGTCGGCGTGCTCAACATGTTCAGCTCGGGCATCGGCGGCGGAGGATTCATGATCGTACGCGATCCGACAAAGTGCTATGGTCGAGATGCCGGTGCGGACTGCGCGGAGCATGTGACGATCGATTTTAGGGAGACCGCGCCCGCGGCGGCCAACAAGACCATGTACGTCGGGCGTGTGCCGCGCGCGCAGTTCGGCGGTCTGGCCGTCGGCGTGCCCGGCGAACTACGAGGGCTGGAGGAGGCGCATCGCAGGTGGGGTAGGCTGCCGTGGAAGCGGCTCGTGCAGCCGTCGATCGAGCTCGCGCGCTCGGCCAAGGTGTCCAAGGAGCTCGCGCGCCGGCTGGCGTATTTCGGCGGCTTCATGCTCGACGACCCCGTGTGGCGCGAGGTGTTCGTCAACCCCGAGACTGGCGAGCTGCTCAAGGAGGGTGACTCGATTCACCGACACGCATACGCCCGCACGCTCCAGACCATCGCCGACCACGGACCTGACGCCTTTTACACGGGCCCCATCGCGAAGCGCCTCGTCAACACCACACTGCAAAACGGCGGCATCCTCACACTCGACGACATGGCGGCATACAAGGTCATAGTCCAGCCGGCGCTGCGTGGATCCTGGCTGGGCAAGAGGATCTACACGACACATGCGCCCACCTCGGGTCCGGTGGTGCTGTCGATCCTCAACATGCTCTCGCTCATCCCCGAATTCGCCACGGCGGGGCCGACGAGTGTCAACCTGCACCGGTTTGTCGAGACGCTCAAGTTCGGTTTCGGTCAGCGCACCGAGCTTGCGGACCCTGATTTCGTCTCGGACCAGGACCGCGAGCGGATGGCCGAAATCCCGACCATGGAAGAAGCGCAACGCATCGTGCCTAATATTACCGACGACCGTACACATGCGCTCGACTACTACCACCCGAAGTTCGACATTGTTGCCGATCACGGTACCATGCATCTGTCCATCCTCGATGCGCACGGCATGGCGGTCGCAGTCACGTCGACTGTCAACCTCATCTTTGGCTCCCGTGTCATGGATCGCGAAACAGGCGTGATCCTCAACGACGAAATGGACGACACATCCACCCCGGGCGTACCCAACGCGTTCGGTCTTGCACCCTCGCCGTTCAACTATCCCGAACCGCGGAAGAGACCGCTATCCTCGACCTGCCCGACGATCGTCGAAAGCGAGGATGGTGAGGTGGAACTGGTGCTGGGAGGATCCGGAGGCAGCAGGATCTTCAGCGCGGTCCTCCAGACCCTGTTCAACTATGTGCTGTGGGGCATGGACTTGTCCCAGGCCATCGAGGCGCCCAGGTTGCACCACCAACTCCTGCCGACGCAGCTGAGTGTCGAGACGGGGTACAGCAACAAGAGCCTCGCTGGACTGCTTGGGAGGGGCCACGAGGTGGCCTGGCTGGATATCGATCTCGGCGTCGCAGAGGTCCAGGCGGTAGCGGCGACCAGGCGCGGTAGACATAGAAAGGTGTTTGCCGCAAGCGACTCGCGCAAGGGAGGCATCGCTGTGGCCGTCTAGACAAAGCACTCGCGCAATGCAAACATTTCACGCCGGGATTGATCGGAGGTCATGAGGAGATTTTCGATTGAAAAGGTGCGCTACTGGTGAGACGAGTTGAGCATCGCTCGGAATCGGTCTTGGCCCGAAGGCTGCGCAGCCGGCTCCACCTGCATATCGTCTTGGCCCTGCGGGGTTGCTGTCACCGCTGCGTGTGTGACAGGGGTGGCAAAGGCACGCGCGCGTCCACGACCTCGTCCGCGCGAAGCGCGCGGTACAAACGCCAATGCATGTGGCTCCTGCTTGGGCGCTTGCTCGTCCATCGCCACTACATCCAGCGGCTGATCCGCATACCGCAGCTCGCCCGTCTGTGCCAGCAGCACCGCCTTGCCCGCATCCGCCTGGCTTCCAAACGCCACCACCGCACTCCTTCCCTCTCCCGGTGTCCACAGCACCTGCGCCACACTGCCGAGACCCACAGCCTGCTCGAGTGCCTGCTGGATCAACGCCTCCTGTGCATCCTCTGGCAACCCCTGCACACGCACACTGCGCGTGCGGCGCTCGGCCACATCCTCCCTCCTGTGCGGCTTGGCCCCATGTGCACCGCGGTGCTCGGCCATCGTGACCGCGATCGTCTTGCCCCTCCACTTTGTCGAGTTGAGCTCGCGCATGGCGCGCTGCGCCTCGAGCGCATTCTCGAAATCGACGAATCCAATCCCCCTCAGCGCTCCCTCGGGCGTGCGAAGCAGACGGACGCCAGTCACCTTGCCGTACGCCTCAAAGTACGTGCGCATGTCGTCGTCGGTGATGTTGCGCGCAAAGCCCGACACAAACAGCTCGTTCCCGGTCTCCTGCGCATCCGTCCGCGCCTTGCGCCGGCTCGGATCAGAGTGCGCCACACTCAGCCGCCGTCCTTCCGCCACCTCGCCCCCATCCAGCGCTGCAACCGCCGCAGACGCCGACGAGGGCGTCGTGTACTGCACGTAGCAGAAGCGCCGCGTAGTCACGAAGCGCTTGCTCGGCCAGCGCACGTTGAAGACGAGCCCGTGTGCGCCGAATGCCGAACGCACATCCGCGTCCGTCCACTCCTCCGCAAAGTTCGTCACGAACAGCGTGCATTTCCACCCGATGTGCACCGACACGTGCGTGGCGCCGAGCGGCTTGCCATGGCGCGTGAGCGCCGATGCGGCTCCCGAGGCGTCGGCGAACTCGACCAGCGCAGCCGCTTCCGACGTTCCGTCGTGGCGCGTGAGCACGTTCGGGCCGGATAGCTCCACGATGCGCCCGCAGCCGCGCAGCAGCGACCGCACCGCCTGTGCATCGGTCGACGGTTCCAGCCCAGCGACGAGCACCGAACAGTGCTCCCGGTCGCGCGCCGGCGCCGACTCTTCGCCCGTGCGTGTCTTCTTCTGCTCCGCTGCACCCTCTCCTGCTGCTGCGACCGTGTCGTCCGCACGTGTCGCCATGGGCGCATCGGCAATCGGAGTGTCTTCAAGAACCACATCGTCGTCCGCTTTCCGCTTGCCTGCACTCGTGTTGCTCGGCTGGTGCGGTGCTTCGACCTGCATCGCCGTGCCGTCCGTACCGTTGGTCGCAGCTCCGTTCTCCGCCCCTGCACCTTGAGCATAGCCGTACTGGGCGTACGACGCGTACCAGGCCTCGAGGGCGCGCTGCCTCTCGGCGCGAGCCTTGGTCTCGGCTTGCTCGATCTCCTCGATCGATCCGTACTGGTGTTCGAGCTGGAGCCAGTCGTTCAGCAGCGCCTGGTACTCGGCCGCATCCTCGCCGGCACCCTGTGCGTGCCTGCGCTCCACCTTCGACACGCCCGCCTTGAGCCAGCCGCGCGCCTTGCGCGCATCGAAGCGGCGCAGCCAGTACGCCGCCGCCTCGCGGTACACGAGCAGGTTCTCTGGCTGCTGCGTCACGGCCGTCTGCCACACCTGCTCCGCCAGCTCGTTGAACCCGGCGCCGCCCTCGGACGCAGGCCCGCCCATGGCATGCACCGCGCGCTCCACCCAGTTGACCGTGACGCGCTCCAGGCGCAGACTCGCATCGTACCCGTCGCCGGCCTCGGCGACCTTGCCGAGCGCATAGCTGAGCAGCGCGTAGATCTCGGTGAACTTGTCCATGTCGCGCGCTGGATCCATGTCGAGATCCGCGCCCGCCTTGACCACGAGATCGTACGTGGCTAGCTCGCGCTCGCAGTCGACGCGCGCGAGGGTCAGGTCCGTGAGCTCGGCCGCAGTCAGCGAGAGCGCACCCGGCGTGGCGACTCGTTCGAACAGCTGCTCCACCTGCGCACGCGAGCGTCGGAAGCGCGCCGAGCTGCGCATAAGTGCCGCATGCAGACTCACCGCTGTCGGCAGGCAGTGCACCGCGCGCGTGCACACGTCCATCACCAACGACGCGTCCGGATGCGTGCCCGAGGTAAGCAGCGCGATGTAGTCGAGCCACAGGTCGGTGGCGAGCGACAGACGCTCGCTCAGCAGCTGCTCCTCCTGCTGCGTGCGTGCTGCGCGCTCGGCATTGCTAAGACGCTTCCATTGTTTCGACGACTGCGCGGCACCGTCCAGGTCGCCGGCGTAGTAGACCAGCTCTTCGCGATGCGTCGTGGGCGGATGCATGCCAAACACGGCGATCACGCGCTCGTACAGCGCACACGCCAGGTCCAGCTCCGTGTGAGCCGTCCGGTCTTTCGACCGCGCCGCACGCTTCGCCCGACCAGTCTGCCAGCGGAGGTACGGCTTGCAGTACGTCGCAAAGCTGTCCACGTCCTGCCTGGATCCGGGCACGTGCACCGATCCGCTGGCCAGCAGCGGCGCCAGCGCATCTTCGTACTGCTCGCGCTGGCGCAACATGCTCCTCGACTCGGCGACGAGTGTGTTTGCGGCTGACATCTCGGACTCGTACTGGTGTGGCGGCAGGTGCTGCGTGACGAATTGCGAGAATGCCTGGAAGGTGTTATCGATCGCAGCGTGAGGCACCTTGAGCCGGGCCAGGTACACCTGTCGTACCGCCTCCACCTGCTGGTCGCGCGCGATGTGGGGCGAGTTGAGCAGCGCCTCCTCAAACGCGAGATACGGCCTCCATACCGATTGAGACTCTTGCAGTTGGTAGGCGCATCTGGCGTACACTTCTCGCAGGCGCGAACGTACTGCGTCGAGTCCACAGACCGCTTCCCACGCGCTTGCATCGCTGGCCTCGGTAGACAGTGGAGGCAGCGACTGCACGATGTAGGCACCGCTCAAAGTGTCGAATGTGGGACAAGACTCGAGGCTGGTCCACTTGAGAGCCGGGTCGGATACCTTGGCAGCCGATGACGACGGTTCATAATCCGAAGTTGGAGTTACCACGACTTCGACGCCGTTGATGCGAGAGAAGTAAGCGAGTACGAGGCTGATGTACCGCACGATGAGATGCCGGCTCTGATACTGCAATGTGGCGTTCTTGTGGAGCTCGAACAGGGCATGGAGCGCTTCGGGATTGAGAGGAGCTGACGCGGCTGCAAGGCGGCTTTCGAGTGCGAGATAAAGGTCCCAGTCATGTGAGAGCAACGCACCGAGTCCCGCAGCATTCCGATAGTGCTGGAGCAGCTCGATGATCGCGTTGAGGCGCTGCGTGGAATCCGACGCGCCTGCGGTTCGTGCCGCGGTCTGGAGATGGATGAAGCGATCCCGATGCGCAGCCGGACGCAGCGTTGTCACAGCCGCCTGCACATCGGCTTCAGGGATAAGCGACATCTCGAACCAAGGAGGCGGGTCTCGCAAATGTTCGCCGCTCGTTTCGTGATGAAGTGCAGTTGATGGTGGTGATGAGAAGAAGTGATCCGCACCTCCACCGAGTGGACCTGTGCGCTGCGCATTTTTAAATAGTTGACTTTCCGTCTTCCGACTGCCGGCTGCCGGTCCAAAAACATTCCTCAAAAAACAACGAGGGCAAAAAGCCGAATAAAAATGGCGCCCAATTAACGGGAAGTCGTGCCAGGAAAGAGTGTCGACATCGCCGACGCTGTCGACAGTGGCTGGTATGAAGATGCCAAGCGACCAAGATGCAGCGCCACAAACGCACCGATGTATGAGAAGCAAACGAGAACCGAAGAAGCCAAATGGCACCTCGCTTGGCTCGATCCTCGATTCTTCTGTACGGTCCCCGCCTTTCATGAAGTGAGGAAACGGCGACGACCCGGCAGACGCAGACTATGATGCCGCGCTGCCTAGCATAGCGTCGGTCTCGATTGGGTCCGCATGATGCTTTGCTGCTGCGCTTGGTCGGCTCATTACCGGCAAGATATGACCGGACCAACCTCAGTGGCTCAACTCATGTGACATTCTGCGGGACTGCTCAACTGGAGCTAATTGCGCTCCAGCCAGCTAAGCGATGGCTCGGTCCATCTGGTTCCCACCACCTTGCTTGCTCCCTTCGATTGTGTCGTCATCGCATTAATGCTTTAAAGTGGTGATAATCTTGCGCCGCTTCCTCTTCTTTCACTCATCCCGTAAAGATGACATCCCAACTCTTCGTCTGCTTTCTTTTATGGTTGCGTTTCGTCACCCTCCTTATAGGGACGGTGTCGTGCGTTGGTGGCTCCGACCGTAGCCATCATCACCGCGGCGACTCGAGCTCATCCGCTCCTGACGCTCAAGAGCAAACAGACTCGTACTCGTTCCCCAAAAGGTTCGCGTTCACCGATCCAATGTCTGGACGGCCGATGACAGAGTCCTACTACGACCATATCGCCCAGCTCGCCTCGGCTCAAATCGACAAGACCAATTACTACTCTCATAGCTGGCGCTCGATTCGCTCCGGCGGCGATAATCAGATAAAAAGTGCCGCACCGACCAGCCTCCCTTCCGATCTCTCTAAAAATCCGCGCTATCTAGAGTACTCTGTTGGCGACTCACACGTACCTACAGTCTTCATCAAGGTGGCCGACGAGATGCCTCATAATCCTATGGGCGCGTACAATCCGGACATCATCGTCTACATGCATGTTATTCGCGTATGGCGCGACACCGATGCAAAGTATCAGCTCGAGCCCAAACTTGTGCTTCGTGGACGCCCCCAGGATGCTTCCTCTTCCACAAGGAGACCGCCTCCGTATCGGGTCATTTGGGAAAGGGAGCATGCGTACAGACGGGGCTGGGAGTGGATCAACGACCTCCCCAGAGTCTTCGCTTCCAAATCTCTGGGCAATATAGAGCGGCTAGGGTACATACCCTCTACCATCGAGCGCCAGGTGGCCTTGTTACCGCACGAAAGCGATAGCAGCCGCTACTCTTCCTATTCAACGGACGAAATGGTCGACCTCCTCGAACAAAGCCGCGAGTACATGGCTCAATTTGCTCCGATCGAGAAGCAGGATGCTCTCATGTGGTACGGCTTGATGACGGCGCGGATCGACAGAGATCGTCAGCACACGCCGTGGTTCCAGGCGCCCATATTCAAAAACTTCGATCTGGCTGGCGGCCAGATGCAGTTGGAGACGTACATTTCAAACGGTGAAACTCCACCTGTCCTTGACCGTGTCATGTACGCCTTGTCTCCTACTCGCAATCGCCTCGTACCTCGGGCCGTCGTTCGGCCGGTGCAAGTCATGCCAGAGGTGCGCTTCGAAACAATCTTTAAGATTCCCACGAGCCTTCAAGAGCTTTCGAGCATCGATTTGGCCTACACCCCTCAGCTCGCCCGTCCTCAGCGGACCCAGGCGGAGAAGTATCGTCCACTGAGGCTCATGATGGATCGACCGCGACCCATCGGACATCCTCTTGACCTCTTTCCACCAGGCCATCTGTCTCGCTCCGCCATGGACAGAAGCAACAGGGCTGCAAGTGCGGAGTCGTCACGCCGGGGCGGCCGAGAGCGAGCAGAAGCCAGCACAGATCGACCGCCTCGACCGCCTCTTCCTCCGAGCTTGAAGGACGAGGTCAGCGACTTGAAGAGAGAGAAAGAAGAGGAACTCGTTTCGAGGCAGAGAATGCACCTGTCTTCCGACGACGCACAGAGGGCCTCGGGAAACATCGTGGGGCCCGGCGAGGAGCCCGAGTCTTTCTTGCCGTCGAGTCCAGAGCTCGTGCACGATATAGAGATGCCCCAATCTGCCATTCTGAGGCACATGGAGCCGATTCAGTCACAAGCAGGCGGGGCACAAGCACTCCACAATGATCATCGACAATTCCTGCCCCCTCGCTTGGAACACCGACTCGTACCGCAACCAGCGCAGCCTCGCCAGCAAGTCAGGCTCCGCCGTCCTCGATACGACGGTCCGAATCCGTACGAGGCTCCTCAGGAGAACGCTATCGATGTCCTGATGGCCCACCTCAACCCACATGTCGAGGACGCCTGGCGCTATGGGGATGCCTGGCGCTATGGTCACCCTTGAGCTCTCGCCTCAGCCCCGCTTTAGCATTTGTCCTGTCCGCTCAACTTCACATCACGCAACTGCTCGAAACAAATTTTGATACTGAACTCAATGAAAGCTTGATGTGTTGATTACGAGATAACGAGCTCAGAGATGTGCTTAACATGAGCAGCCTAGAGTTGAGAAAGGTGGAAGGACAGTCAGCGAGGCTGACAACTTTGATGGGAAGGGACTGTGAGGCGCGGAGTCTTCAGCGTCTTTGAAACTTCGGCCCGGTC